AATGATGCACATTCATAAAGGTTCTGTTATGAGGATAACGAGCAGCATTTGGGTACCTCTCACGATAAAGCCTAGCTGCAGCACTAGCATTGCATCTACATTACTCATAAATGAGGTGCATGTGGGCCTATTAAGAAAAGTGGCCTTACTATCTGACTTGATGTCACAACGTCGAATGACACTGCCCGTCACTCCGTCCAAGAAAGCCCGTCACCCCGTCCAAGAAAAAATTTAAATTTGTAGTAATGGGAATTAAAAGATCGTCGTATATATTTTTTTGATCTCTCTAAAGCCCTTCATTTGGAAAGTACACGATTGCATTTTCTTTTATATTTTTCTCATAACTAATGGGTGATTTTTTTGCTAGTATCTTTTTGGCAACACTCTTTTTGACAGATGACGCGTGAATCGTGTCTTGTGTCATTGTCAAACTTGTTCAGTTTGGTCTATAATATATCCATGAATTGACTTTCGAACGAACAACGCTTGCAAATTATTGAATTTTACTATCAAAATTCATGCTCGGTTAAGAGAGTGCATCGAGCACTGCTTCCAATTTATGGGCAATTTGGTCGGCCTACTGAGGGAGCTATTCGGAAGCTTGTGACTAAATTTCGAACCCAGTTTACATAATTGGACATTAAACCACCAACACTCAGACGTAGAGTGAAGACTGAAGAAAATATTGCGGCTGTATCCGCCAGTGTTAGTGATGACCGTGAAATATCGATTCTCCGCCGTTCGCAGCAATTGGGCCTCTGTTACTCTACTACGTGGAAAATTTTGCGACAGGATTTGGGTATAAAACCTTATAAGATACAGCTGGTGCAAGAATTGAAGCCACACCACCTCCCAAAACGTTTATAATTTGGTGAATGGGCGCTGGCAAAGTTGGAGGAAGATCCACATTTTTATCGAAAAATTGTGTTCAGCGACGAAGCTCATTTCTGGTTGAATGGGTACGTTAACAAGCAAAATTTCCACATCTGGAGTGAAGACCAGCCAGAGGCATTGCAAGAGCTACCAATGCATCCCGGAAAAATCACTGTTTGGTGTGGATTATGGGCCGGTGGCATCATCGGACCGCAATTCTTCAAAGACGACAATGGCCGGAACGTAACTGTGAATGGCGAGCGCTACCGTGCGATGATAACAAACTTTTTTCTGCCCAAAATGGAAGAGCTGGACATGGCTGACATGTGGTTTCAACAAGACGGTGCCACATGCCACACCACACACGAAACAATGGAACTATTGAGAGGCGAGTTCGGTGAAGAGTTTATCTCACGTCAATTTTCCGCCTAGACCGTGTGATTTAGCGCCGTTGGACTATTTCTTGTGGGGCCCTGTTAAGGCTTATGTCTACAGAGATAAACCAGCAACGATTGACGCACTGGAAGCCAATATTGAAGCATTTATTCGTGAGATACCGGCCTATGTGTTGGAGAGAATGTGCCAAAATTGGACCATCTAAAGCGGAGCCGCGGCCAACATTTACATGAAATAATCTTTAAACATTAAATTATATCGACCGTTCTATCGACTCAAATAAAGATTTAATCGTTTTTTCAAATTTTTTGTGTTTTTTTTTTGAAAATCAAATCCTATACCTCTTAAAAAATCACCCGTTATTATGACTTGGTATGTACTCCGGTTCCGGCTTGACGCCGACTTGCGGAATACCCTCTCTAACCTATCCTAATCGCTTGAAGACTGGGAAATCGTCAAAATGTCAGATGCACTTATCGACATTGCTATCCGACGAGAAATTCTCAAGATAAGGAGGATCACATTCTCGGTAAGCTTAGAAGCACCTGACGCCAGGCTAATGGAGCGGTAATCCTGGGGGAATATCGGACGGCCTCTTTGGCGTCATGATGACTTCAGCGTCTTCCGCGGCGTTGGGAATTACTGGGACTATTAGAACTGCAACGATCACTGTCACTCGAAAGGTTGCTGGTTTCAAGAGAGCAGCTTCAGTGGCCGATTAGTAATTTTCATCTCTATAGATGTTTTACACATCTTGAGGTCTTTAGATGACCTTAAAGTTCCACTGGTGTGCAGTACCGGATCTCATATTCTATTAGTTATGAATTGATAATTTAAGTGCAATACGTACCAAACCAAGTACCTTAACTTTCTCCAATATCGTAAAATCCACCGAAAATACATAAATTCGACAAATTTCTCCTCCGCGTAAAACCCGGCGATATCCAAATTACTTAAATGAAAATTGATATAAGCATAAATATGATTTTTCTGCTGTAGTGGGCCTTCACAACCGACCACGCGCGACGTATTACAAAAAACTGGCGTGAAATCGTTGTTACACTAACCAACACTCGATTTTGCACAACTTAAGGAGCATACATTGTTAAGTGCATAATCATACATGTTGGAAATGTGGCAAAAGTGATGTTAATCGCCTGACTACAAGCTATTGTTTAGACCTTTGATTTATTGTGAAATTGGTAGGTTTGCATGCGTTATTTTGCAAATGATGTGGATTCCAGGTGATTTGGTCGAGATGACGTCGCTTTTACCGTGAACACGCAAAGAGGATGTTACATTGATCTAAATTCCTGATGTTACTTAAAATGCAAGTTTTTATGAAATATCACAATCGTAAGTAAGACATATTTTCTATATCTTTACACACCTGGTCGTTTCATAATAAGAATAGTCTAATGGTGCAATACCCTGTAGATATGTTCCTTCCAGAAGTTTCCTAGTCATATGTGGTGTCACCCCATCGAAAGTCAAATGCAATAAATTTTATGATTTATAAACGTCATTGGTCATTTAATATTTATATTCAAAATATTGAACAAATAAAACACAATGAAAATTAAGACATAAAAAATATTTACATCTTATAATTAAAATCTCTTCTTTCTAGCTGGGACAGCTGCAAACCCAGAAATAACTTCATCAAAATTTATATTTTGTATTCCCTCGTGTTCGATGGCGAATATGTATTTTGAATACTTCGCCAATGCGGACCCGAACCCATTCGTCGGCGAAGCATGAGCCCCTTCGTTTTCGCGTCTTTTAACGACTCTTCGCAGGGATATCACGTAAAAAATCGAAATCGTGTCATTAAGAATCAGTATAATGTCAACTAGTCGCTAGTTCACTCACGCGCATTTGTTGTGAACGTCACCTATGGAGGGATGGCATAACGGCCTATACTATAGAAATATAGGCCGCAGAAGCTCGAGATTCTCACACTTCGGCCAGAAGAGATCGATGGAGCTTTTTTTCCTGAGAGTGACTGTTAAAGCTTTCCTCTGGCCAAAAAACGGTCATAGAATAGCTTCTGTCTTCGCTAGCCTCTGAAGCTGGATGTTACATCACATAAAAGTCAAACCATATAGCTCAAGTGTCATGACATGCACAGCTAGCATAATGACAGCTAGCTACAAGGTGAGATTATTTCGGAAAGTCCTACATCTAGATACAGGCTGGATATATGATCTGTTTGATTTCCGTTTCTCTGACTAGAATGAAAATTTTGAACATTTTAAAGCTTTTGAGCATTTCAAAAATAGTAAATACATATCCTGAAGGTCTCGGAAATTTGAGAATTTTTAAAAATTTTGCCAAAAATATCTGTAATATAGCTTCCGTCCGTCCGACCACAGACGGCCAACAATGAACAGCTGTTTCGTGCTATTTGACAACTCTTTAGCATGGAGTAGGATTATTTTTACTTTCGCAGTGATTGGTTCGGGTAATAGTTGATATTTTGTGCTGTTTTATTTCAATTTCAAAAATCACGAAGACTTTGACAATTACGGAAAATTTGAAAATTCTTCAAATGATGAAGATTTTGATAACTTTGATTGGACATTATGAAAGACTTAGAAACCTTGATGATTCTGAAAGTGTAAAAAATTGTTAAAAACTGTACAACTTTTAAAATTTTTAAAGTCTCAAATATTTTGAAAATAATGAAAATTGTGAGCACTTATGTTTTTTAAATTTCGACATTCCTTGTAATTCAGAACAATTTTGAAAAGCGAAAATTATTACAGTTTCTGCAAAAGCGAATTTTTAAAGATTTGGGTTTTCTGAATATTCCAAAATTTTTTATATATTTTATATTTGAAATTTATAACTCAAAAAACCTTGAAAAGGACCTCGAACAAAACATATAGAAAATGGGTCCCACTCTATGTATGAATAGTTTCCGAGAAATAAGGAGTTTGCCCGATTTACAAAAACGGTGAATGCATACATAAAATAGATATTTTTATTCTAGAAAGCCTTTCAATCTAGACGACCTTTATAAAGTAGCTTACATACTAAATGCTTCATTCAGCGGTTCAGCTGTTAGCCTGTTGGCAATGGCGCTAGAGCCAAACGTCGCTCTGGCCACATAAGGAATTTGCTTATTGACAAGTTTATGAAAGTAATGAGGATTTACTTGATGATTATGCAATAGCTAGTAAATATTACTGAAGTTCTAAACCTGGTGTCCAAACCCTAGGCAATAGTTCGTTGACTGACACAATCAGATATGCCAGAAGCAGACCAAAACAAAAAACTCAGACTATTAGTCAATAATTACATTAAAGTTATGTTCACAATAGCGTGCCTTTTTTATAATTAAAGACAAATAAACAAGAATGACTTTTTGGTGCCCTTATGAAGCGTACTGTCTGACCTCTTGAGTGATTTTTTTTAATTTCTCAACAACTCGTGTCAGATCCATTTCAGTGTCACCGTATAGAAATAAGCTTGACCTCAAACTGTCCTTGTACAACAATACAACAAGCTCAACATGACATTTTTACAAATCTGACAAGCTTTTTCCCCTATTTCTCAGAAACAAATCATACTTAGGATTGCCTTGGTCCCGTGAAAACTCTTGCTTAGGAAAGTGAGAAATATATCACATTGACTTTCAAGGCAAATTGACTGGAACTCATTTTCTACATGCGGGGTCCTTTGGAAACCATTGTGTTGAGAACTTTAAAAGTGCTGCAGATTTTTACCCTATTATGGAATCCCCTGCCAACTCTCTCAGCATTGACCCAAATCTGCCACTCTCCAGTCTTCCCGTTCCAACTCTGACAAGTGTGGTACCACTTGTTCAGCCTTAGTGGATAGTTCAGCCGGTAGAAAGTATGGCCTGCAACCGCCATTGTGAAGTAGCTGGATCTGTCAGTGTTTGAGACACTTGCCAGGATTGCTTTTGGTTGACCGTCAACTGAAAAATCATAAGAAAATTATACGTAGAATAATTTTAATAATAACACAGGTCTACAAAAAAGTGATCTGAAGTCAGAATTGGGGATTGCTGGCAAATCTCTGAATAAACCCATACAAACAATAAAAATCATTACACAGATCCACAAAAAAATTAGGCATATGCACTATTTTCCCCATGTATTTTTCGATGGACAACTTTGAAAGTAGTTTTGACATTGAGAGTAGGTATAATATATTTTTGGTAATTAAGTGAATGTGCATTCACCAAAAATACCAAAATATCTTTTAATGTTATATTCATATTACCCCCTACCCCCCTACTTTGATTTCAAATTTGTATACAGCGGGAAAAATACACCGAAGAGAAATCAGGACAACCACAACACACCACTTCTTTTTGTGTCTATGTGTATTATGTCTATGCGTTCAAAAAATAAGGAAGAATTGAGTCCGGAAAACTATACACTATCAGAACTGGAGTTTCACAGGGGACTGCTTTAAGCTCTATATTCTATTCCTCCAATATGTCAAATTTCTATTGGAATTGCACATAAGTGGTAAAACTGTAATGGATGCTGATTACACAGCTACAATTTTTCATGAGAGACGATGGTCTCTGGCTAAAAAGGCTGCTCAAGTTGATATGGAAAAAGTACCTAACTGGCATCACCTTTAAATATTGATAAGTCATCGTGTATTGCATTTTGTATAAGAGATACAAATATACTTCAATTTAGTAATATATTCATCATATCATATAAAAGAAGTTGAACACATTAAGTATTTAGGAATAATCAGTGACTAAAATCTAAAATGGCATCATTTTAATTACAGTTATAAAATTAATATCTACATTTTATCAGCTCGGATAATGCTTATTCGAAAAGAAAATTTTGCATATCTACAAATTATTGGTTGAGTCTATTTTGTTATAATAGTTTGGGGACGGATGTATAAAAATTCTTTACAAACTTTGAATGTAAGTAAAAATTACATTTTAAAATTCATATACATGACATGTAAACTCTACCATACTAATTTATTATACACAAAATTTATCCGCAACCTGCGATCAATTTATGTTCAAATTACTTGTTTGTATGCTTTTAAAAATCAACTTAACCACAATCATGTTATACATGAGATACTCGCAGTAGATCTAACGAACTTATAACAACATCAAGATAATATAGTAGGGATATAACTCAACAAGTTTTGAATTATACTTTACTGAAAGTTTACAGTATAATACAGATTGAAACGAGGCATACCACTTACAGGAGATATTTGCAAAATCCATAATGATCATTACAAAGAATTTATCGGAATACTTGAGGCTTGGGTAACTATGTATCAAATTAACCTCCTTACTCCTATACTTTGTTAGTTTAAATGTTTTATTTTTCATATTTTATGAAATATATTTGTTTCAAGCACATTAGCGATAAATCACCTAGATGCTTCTATAACTTGGATAGCCTTAGTTTAAATTTCATGCTAGATATACATTATTGAGATATTTATTATAGAATGTGAATACTGCTTCCTTGTTTTGGTAAATAAATTAAAATCAAAATAACAATGAAGGCGCTTGATGTGAGAAACACGTAAACAAGGTAACGCCATTCTGAATCCAATATGGCGGCCGCCGCAAAATAGCGATTTATCATTACCACAGAAATCACTATTATAAATGAGCTTTGCTAAGTATCCTAAACCTAACTTGGTGGCCGTCCAATATGTATTATTATATGACATGGAGCTGATCTAAGGGTGAAACATGAAAAAAGTAAGAAGTTTTATGAAACAAGAAATACTTTCTTAAAAGTATCGTTATGCTTAGCTGTTAATATGAACCTGAAGCTCAGAAATATTTTTTCCGAGTGAAAATATGTCGTTCAAAGCCCCATCTCAAGTTTTCAATTAAAAAAATGTTACGTAAAAACAGCAAGAAATTTGAGATAAATGAGCTTCAATATCGTCGAAAGTTTAGGAAGAATAAAACGGCATTCGTCCAATCGAAAAAAATATTTCTGAATGTTTAGTTCGTTTTAAGTGCTAAATAAGAGCTTGTTTATGAAATTTTACCTTTTTATGTGTTATTTATACTTGTTGGGTATTAAAAACATTAATTTGACGAGTGGTAAGCTGTATTCGTTGACTAAAATAGGTAAACGTGTACTCACCAGCATACGAGAAGATGGGATGATCATTCGAATGATTATAAAACTTCGTCCAGAAGCACAACGTGAACTCCTTCATATCCGGTACATCCGTTTTGTATTGCACATACTGGAAGTAGAGATCCTGAGTAAAACCGACTTTGTAGACTTCGCATTGGTCTCCTGCACTGCCGATTTCGTGGTGGTGATGATCACCCCCTGCGACGGAAATACCCCCGTGGTGTCCGTACCTGGAACAGGATGGCACTTTAAGTAAGTCGATACTAGCGTTCTGGATGTGCGACTGCACCAGACGTAAGGGAATTTGAGAGGCATGTACAGGGTAGTTCAGATAAATGTGAAAATATTTGTAGGGTATAAACTAGATCAAAAAATATGTCAAAATCCATCAACTCATTTGGACTGTAGCTCGTAAAATAGAATTTCTCATTTACATGTATAGATGCCCACCTGCATCAAACATACAGATTTTTTAAGGTGACGCATTTATCGTAGGAAGCTGAAATTTTCATGATTTATTCTACATGGATTGAAATAGATTTTACAATAAAATAAATAATGAAATACAACCTCAATTTTTTTACCATCCCCCAAAGTTGAGGGACGGAAGGAATTTTTCACAAAAAAATGAATTCAAGATTTTTTGCGTTGATTTCTAATAAGCTCTATTAGTGACATAACCATTGCTAAAACTAACCACTTAGCTCATCTCAGAAAAAAAATCACAGTCCTAGACCTAATGGTTTAGTTGTAATTGTTTATTATCCCGTTTTCTTTCGAAATTTCACAAAATTGCAAATATCTCCTGAACTATAAAATTTCAGACCACACATAATATAGGGGCTCATTCGATAGGTTTTGAGGCCCTATATCACCTGACTTTCGTTGATCCACTACTAACTTTACACCATGTATATGTGTCTTTGAATCTATCGCAGTCAACTTTGAAAAACACCTAACAGAGTTTACTTGAAATTTCTTTTCGATAAACGGTAAGTACTTATTCATTGATTCTTTTACTTATTGGTTGATGTTTCACCTAGAGGTAGCTTTTTTATTATAAACGTAGTTGTTTCTGATAAGGAAAGTCCTAACTGTCATCACACCCTGTATATATGTAGTGTTTTTCTTTAATGAGTTAAGCTCAAAATCTGAAATTCGGTATAATGTAATTGATGCATGAATACTATGTTTTAGCATTAATGCAACACTTGAAAATCTCAAGACGGCGGCTTAGCGCCATTTTGGAAAATATTTTAATAGAATGATAAGTCGTGTGTTCCTCATTTTGGAGCTCCTTAAGAAAACTTTACAATCCTGGAACATACTGTCATCCAAGAGGCTGTGAAAGTTGAGATCATCTGTACATTGAGTGACTTAATAACTCAATAACCAGTCATCAAAACGCTATAGTCATATGAATCTTCTTCTCGTGGAAGTGTCTATCCAAGTATGTAGTAAAATATGAAAAATTCCATTAAAAAAATTGTCAACATCTGTTAATGTATTTAAATGGAACATCATATTCAGATAGACCATTCCAGAAGAGAATTGAGTTTTGATGATAAGTTGCTTAGTTACTAGTGATTTAATCTACAAAAACGCTCAACGTTGACGACCTGCCAGTCCGCCATTTTAAAAGAGTGATTTTACATTTTAGTACTACAAAATATTTATAAGGTGAACTTAAGGTATGACATAACCCCCCACACCTTATTCAAGGAAATCATACAAAATCGCTCCAGTCGCCATTTTGAAATCTTGAACAGTTACGTTCAAATATAGTATTTCTGTGTGATCATCTTGAATTCCTATTCGTCAATTACTTCTTCATTCATTTTACATTTTAGCTGTTGTTTCCCATACTTAATAATATAATAATAATTTGGTTATTACAAACGTAGGAAAGTCCCAACTTTCAGGACACTCTGTATATACAAAAATGTCCGTGTTTGAGAATAATCTGGTGTAGACCAGAGAGGTAGAAATAGGAAAATTTTTACCCCTTGAGAAAGAATAAAATTATATTCCACGCAAGTGACCCTCTTGATACACATACTGCATTTTTTACTTGTTCTCTTAAAGAATAAAAAAAAATCCAAACCGTTCTACTTTGAAAATACGCTGATGGAGTTTGGCATTGAAAATTGTTTTGTGTTATTTGAACAATTTTCATACATCCTTATTCATTCCCATCAGTGGCCTAGGAATTTACAACACACTGTATTTGCTATTCTTGGGCGTACTTTCTACATAAGAAGTATTACCATGTCTTTCTGGATCACCCTGTAAATATGTATAGTATGTGTACGTGTAGACAGGACGAGTTGAGGGAGTTCATAATACAAGCAGACAAAAGTGAGCTGATGACCCTCTTACCCAGAAACCGGAGTATACTTTCGCAGATGTTTTTGATGCGCTGAATCCAAGTTCGTAGTTCAAATCTCTCAATGACTTTTACTTTCTGAGATATATCAACCTAATTATCCAAAAAAGCCATTTTTGCGAATTATTTTCTTCTTCCGAAAAACTATTGACATCATCTCAAAGTCTTGTATTTTCAAATGCCGTTGAACTTGCTTAATAGGTTTATCTTTCGCTGAGATACGGCCCTTTGAACTTTTCTAGTCTACCTCTGTTCAGCTTTTATTTCAACAAAAGAAAAAGATATTTAAGCGAACTGAACAGCACATCTGAGATGACGTCTGAGGTTTCGGGAAAATAATTCGCAATTCTACATAGTCTAGAATGTAGGCAAACATCGCTATTTTTGCTCTTTTACGTTGGCATATATCGGAAACTAGCGCTAATTGAGAGATTTGGACGCATCAAAATCCTCCAGGAAAGTAAGCTCTGGATTCTTTGTAAAAATCCTTTCGACCTGTGTGATCTAAAGGTATTTTTTCTTTTGCTTGCAGTTTTTTTGTGACAACAATCAAAATAAAAGATTTTGTATTTCTTTCAGTTGTTTCTTTTGTTATCTCTTAAGATTACGAGCTAAGCTATAATTGCTAATACAAGGGTTCCCAAAACATTATACCTTTTATAGTAGGTAGCTACTCCGACGAGTTTTGAAACGCTCCCAGTTGATGCTTGGGATTTAATTTAGTTCAACGCAAGTTACTTTATTATAATATATACAAACACAGAAAGGCGACAAGTCGCAAGCATGGAACAGCTGTACGCGGTTGATTGAACGGATGCATTATTATTAATATACATAAATGGTGTCCTCAAAGTAGAAACATCAACATTTCTCGAAAAATATGTGTAGTAGAGTGTTGTAGAGCAAACTTGTAAGGTTTCTTTATTGTCACTATTTAATGACAGTTTTTAAACCTTACAGATTCACTACATCCCTAGAAAACATTTTTCCGGATATTTTAACGTTTCTACTCTTTTTTGATACCCTGTATGTACATAGTGGCAAAGGGATTCTTTAAAAGCTTAGAATCTTACAAAAAATTATTTTTGGCATCTCCTATTCCTTTTGTCTTTCATTCTCTCCCTGCTATTGCTAGCAAACCATTATACCGAAGTTTACGCGTAACCACAACAAGAACAATAGAATTACAGATATGGAATTTCACACGTATGTAACAAATTATAGAACATAAAAATATTACATCACTAACAAGCGCAGCTAAGAAAGTTTAGACGGATATATATATATAACATAACAGCTTATAATTAAGTTTAAAGATCATGAGAGTATTACATTTCCAATAGATCTTCCTAATTATTTTTTTAGGAGAAAGTACATATTTGCTTGCAAGAACTGATATGAGAACTGTATAATTTGAACAACGAAATATATCTAGTAGAACAAAATGGATGAGGTACAAGTCAACCATAATGTCTCCTTGAAATCAAATTTCTAGTAGGAACAAATTAATCTGCAGATCATTTTGGCTCAATGGCTGTGTTCAGAATCAATATGCAATAGTTAAATGTATACAAAGGAAAAGTGTTTTTGTCTGTCCAGGCAATCAGATAAGGAATCAGTAGTAAAAAGACCTAGGAGCAACAGGCTTCCACATACCGATTTTTTACCACAAATTGTATTTAACTTGTTGAAATGGATGGCAAGTTCTATCTTCAACCCTGTTAGATATAGCCATATTTAACCAATGAAGACTGGGTGCCACACGAATCAGATAATGAAGGCGATAAAAAGGTTGATGTGCTTGCAAGAAAGCTATCACTTACTCCACGTATAGGCCTGGTCACTGCTAAAAGGCACATTATTGAAGTGTACCAAAGAATGTAGTATTGAGCTTCTACCATGACTACGGCCCGAAAGAATGTCAGCACAAGCATGACTGCATAATGGAGATTACGATTGTAGTAAAATGTGGAACAGGAACAAAGGGAACAACATTTTGGAGAATTTAAGACTGAAGAAAACGATAGCAGTTATACAGAGTTCAAGGCTACAACGTAGGATACTAGATACTAGATCATGGGAAATGATTTGCCTACAATTAAACCTTAAAGGTTGCAATTGTCATCGAGGAGCTAGTTCAGATGGCTTGCAAAGGAAAAAATAACGATTCATATGATCCTGAACTCAGAGGTCCTTTCCCGTTTTATATTTATAGGACCAACACTGATTTCTGTCCTGAAATGCAGCCAAATTTGAAGGTCTCTTGCCTGAAAGAACCGCATTGAATTATCACAAGACAACGAAACTACCCCAGGCAGCTAGCATAACGTAAAGAGGCATCTATTCATTGAATTCCTAGCAAAAACTTCGGAAGGACGGTTCTATTTATATCTCGCATTAGGTTCACGTGTGTCCCGGACTGAATATCCCGAAGGAGAACTCCACGAACCTCTTCTAATTGATGATGTCTCATGTTGCGAATAACTTCCCTACACACATAGAGACACAGGCTTATATGCCGTAAGGGGAAATGTCAGAGGGTTTATGTATGTGTGTACTTGTTTGAAGGAAAAGTAGGTTACGTGTGTAAACACAGCGGCGTACCATGGGTAATTCTATATTCATATACAGAAGAGTCTGAATAGTAATGGAGATAAGCTCATGCTGCAGTAATAACGAGATCGAAAGCAGGACTAGAAAATGCGTTTAAAAGATTAGAAGAAACTGCCAGACGATTTAGGCTCCATATAAATGAGGACAAAGAAATGAGATGAACAGATGAAAGGAAAATAAGGATTAAATAATAATAGAGATATTTTGAAAAAGGCTACCGAGGTGGGCGAA